AGAGAGAGAGAGAGAGAGAGAGAGAGAGAGAGAGAGAGAGAGAGAGAGAGAGAGAGAGAGAGAGAGAGAGTCGAGGTCGGGGAGCGTCGCAGGCATCCCTCCCGATGCTCCCCCAACCCCGATCCTCCTCGACACATACCCTACTATCCTCTCTCTCTCTCTCTCTCTCTCTCTTTCTTTCTCTCCATTTCCTTTTTATTTTTATTTTTTTATCAATCAATCAATCAATCTGGTCCCCCCCCCCTGTCGTTCTTCTTCTTTTTTTTCTTTTTTTTCTTCTTCTTCTTCTTTTTTTTCTTCTTCTTTTTCGTCTTCGTCTTCTTCTTCTTCTTCTTCTTCTTCTTTGTCTTCTCTTCTTCGTCTTCTTCTTTAAATTTTCTTTCACCACCTCCTTCGACCCGGCTCCTCCTCCTCGTCGTCCTCCCGCCACCCCCAATCATATTGTCTTTTTTTTCTTCTTCTTCTTCTTCTTCTTCTTCTTCTTCTTCCTCTTCTTCTCCTCTGCCATAATGGCCTTCGTCCTCCTTCTCCTCCTCTTCTCCTTCTTCCTCCTCCTTCTCCTCTTCTCCTTCTTCCTCCTCCTCCTCTTCTCCTTCTTCTTCCTCCTCCTCCTCCTCCTCCTCCTCCTCTCCCTCCTCCTCATTCTCCTAATGCAGCACGGCATAATGACCTTCGCCGTCCTCCTCCTCATCTCTCTCTCTCTCTCTCTCTGTGTCTCTCTCCCAGTGGTACACCCTCTGTCTTTCTCTCTCATTGGTGTTGTGCGCGAAGAGGTGGAGAGTTCCGTGCATATTCCCCCAAAACCGATTAGGAGGCGTTGAGAATTGCACCCTCAACGCCGCCTAATCGGTTTTTGGGGAATATGCACGGAACTCTCCACCTCTTCGTGCACAAATTGCACCCTTTCCCACAAAAAAAAAAATAAAAAAAAAAATAAAAAAAAATTGCACTCTCCCTTTCTCTCTCCTCCCTCCCTAGATCCCCCCTTCCCTCTCCCTCCCTCCCTCCCTCTATCCATTCGTTTAGGGCTGCAACTCCATTTGTTGTGGGGATGCAAAGGGGACAGGATATGTGCAGAGCCACTATGGGAACGAGTAGGCGAGGATCATGTCGTGAATACGGAGACGCGGGGGGAGGAGAAGGAACACTACCGGTAGGGGGAGGTCAAGTGTGGTCCGGCAGGGAGGAGAAGGTCAGAGGCCTGCGCGCAGAACTGGGGGAATAGTTAGGGGAGATGGTCGCCATCGAAATCTTGCGGGGCTGTAGTAGCGGGAGAAGGACGAAGGGGGAGGGTCAGGATGCGGGATCAGGAGGATGAAAAGGTCGGGATGGTCGGGATGGGATGCGCCGACAGAGGAAGAAGAAGGCCGGACGCCGCGATAAGGTAAGATTGCCGCCATCAAGGAGGTGGTTGTGGAGGAGGAAGACGTGGAGGAGGGTCCTACACTAAATGGGAGGAGAGGATGTAGGTCGCRGGGAACCGATTTGTGAATAAGGGGAGTGGCAGCGCGGATGAGGATGGGGCGGATCAGGATGTGGGATCGAGAGGAGGAGGAGGAGGTTGGAATGTCAGGCAATCACGGTGAGGATGTGGGGACCAAGAAAGTGCAGGAGAAGGAACGCCACGGCAACAGGGTAAGAATGCAGGTCGTGGAGGGGGATCCCGACAAGGTGGGGAAAAAGAGGTTCGAAGGCAGGAAGAGGGGCTCAGCGAGATCGCGTCTATCCTCTCTCTCTCTCTCTCTCTCTTTCTTTCTCTCCATTTCCTTTTTATTTTTATTTTTTTATCAATCATCAATCAATCAATCAATCAATCAATCAATCATTGATTGATTGATTGACCGAATGGGCCCTCGGGTCTGGTCCCCCCCCACTGTCGTTCTTCTTCTTTTTTTTCTTTTTTTTTTTCTTCTTCTTCTTCTTCTTCTTCTTCTTCTTTTTTGTCTTCTCTTCTTCATCTTCTTCTTTAAATTTTCTTTCACCACCTCCTTCGACCCGGCTCCTCCTCCTCGTCGTCCTCCCGCCACCCCCAATCATAGTCTTTTTCTTCTTCATCTTCTTCTTCTTCTTCTTCTCCTCTGCCATAATGGCCTTCGTCCTCCTTCTCCTCCTCTTATCCTTCTTCCTCCTCCTCCTTCTCCTCTTCTCCTTCTTCCTCCTCCTCCTCTTCTCCTTCTTCCTCCTACTCCTCCTCCTCCTCCTCGTCTCCCTCCTCCTCCTCCTCCTAATGTAGCACGCCATAATGACCTTCGCCGTCCTCCTCCTCTTCTCCTTCTTCCTCCTCCTCCTCCTCCTCCTCTCCCTCCTCTTCCTCCTCTTCCTCGTCCTCCGCCATATCTCTCTCCTCTTCCTCCTCCTTCTCCACCATATCTCTCTCCTCTTCCTCCTTCACCTCTTCCACCTGTTTTCCTCCCTCCTCCTCCTCCGCCTCCCTCTTTTTCCTCCTCCTCCTCCTCCTTTCCTCCTCCTCTTCTTCATCCTTGCCCTCCACCACCATATATCTTGCGTCCTCCTCCTCGTTTCCTCCTCCTCCTCTTCTTTATCCTTGCCCTCCACTACCATATCTCTTGCGCCCTCCTCTTCCTCCTCCTCCTCCTCGCCCCCGGGCCATTCTTCTTCTACAAGTTCTTCTTTTTTGTCCACTTCCTCCGACCCGGCTCGTCCTCCTCCTCATTCCTCCGCCAGCCCCAGTCATCCCGTCTTCTTCCTCTTCTCCTCCACTCCTTCTCCAGAACCTTCATCTTCTTCTTTTGACCCTGAGGCTCGTCATCCCAGCTCATGCTTCCCATCTTGCTCATCTTGCCCGTTTTCTCCAGTTTTTTTTTTTTGTTTTTTTATACCTGTAATTCAATCAATCAATCAATCAGTCAGACTGAGTAAGTCAATCAATCAATCAAGGTAACTACCTGCCACCCATCTTTGGCAGGTAGTTGCATTGCTTGCTTGCTTGCTTGCTTACTTGGTTGCTTGATTGATCGATTGATTGATTGATTGATTCGATCAATCAATCAATCAGTGAGGCTGGAGAGAGTGAGGGCTGGGTTCGGGGTCCGGGTTCGTGGTCGGGAGGGGTGGGTTCGGGGTCTTGGTTCCTGGTCGGGAGAGAGAGGGGCAGGATCGGTGTCGGAGCCGGGGTCGGGGGAGAGGAGGAGGGGGAGGGGAGAAACGCAGAGAGATAGAGAGGATGACGGTGGAGGGGTAGGGAAGGGGTTGGAGAGAGAGAGAGTGATACATGCCCAATCGGGCGATGTATGGGAGCCAAGGATCTGCAAAGTGATGAAAAGGACTCATATGAACAATGCATTGTCAGCCAAGCATCAACGAGCAATATACATCCAGATACATATGGAAATAGCACAACGTCGTGCAACGGAAGACTCAAGATATGATCTGACCTGTCAGATACTGATGCAACACCCCATCATGCACCACATGTGTGTGAGAGAGGACGGACCACATACATAGAAGAAAGGTCCCTCCTTGCACACGCACATGGGGGGAGATACCACAGACGAGAGATGGGGGGATGCGAGATGAAGATGGAGGCGAGGGAGAAGACCAAGATCGCGATAGCGAAGTCCAAAAAAATGGTCCGCGGCCGAGTGTCCAATCAATGTCTGCCAAAAGAATGTCGAATCAGATCCTGGGCATATGCCCGTGAAACCTCTGCCTGAAGACTCTCTCTCTCTCTCTCTCTCTCTCTCTCTCTCTCTCTCTCTCTCTCTCTCTCTCTGAAAGAAGAAGAAGAAGAAGAAGAAGAAGAAGGAAGGAACAAGAAGAGGTGGAGGGCGAGAACAGATAGAAGAAGAAGAAGATGATGTCGTCCTCCTCACTGTCTCACCTGCAGGTAACTGTTGCCAAGTACTGACGTCGTCGGCGTACGCTGTGCTGCAGGTCGTTGGAGCCAAGTCCAGATATGGTGCCCAGGTACGTACTCGAACGCTGCAGGTATGGCCTTCGCCGTGTTCCCCTACCTATTCCTCTACCTCTAACGCAGCGCAGCGCTGTCGCGTGCGGTGCTGGTCTAGCATAATGTCGCCCAAGAATTGTGTGTGTGCCCAGCCGCTCTCTCTCGCTCTCTCCTTTCGGTTTTTTTTTTTTTTTTATCAATCAATCAATCAAGGTCAATGATTGATTGATTGGGAGAGAGAGAGAGAGAGAGAGAGAGAGAGAGAGAGAGAGAGAGAGAGAGAGAGAGAGAGGGTCGTGGAGGGTCAGGACTGTCCTGTCTCTCTCTCTCGGTCTCTCTTTTTCTCGCCCTTTCCTTTTTTTTTTTTTTTTTTAATCAAGTAATTGAAAGGCATACCATGATGCAGACCCCAAATTCGAATTCCAGGGTCAAGGTCTAAGGTCAAGGAAGGCCAGGTCTAGGACGCTCTTCTAGGCCCAAATCGGAGTTGGTTCCTCGTGTACCTATTGAAACGGTTTTCACCTTAAAGTTTCTGCAGTCACGGATGCGGGCCCTAGAGTTCGATCCCCAGACCTCACTTTGCCCACGTACAGTATCGAGTCAACCCCTGAGTGTTTGAACCCGCGATCTGTGTTTCGGTAGCTGTTTGGCATCTGTCGTAGGCCTGTGTAGCGGTAGGGGTTTGATCTGTAGGTCTGTCGATTAGGAGTCGCAGCTCTGTAGAGGTTGTGGCTGTAGATGCTCTGAAAGGTCAAGGTCGTAGCTGCTACAGTCCTGAAAGGTCAAGGTCGTAGCTGCTACAGTTCCCGAAAGTCCAAATCCACAGGCTTCCAGAAGGTCCGGAAGTGGCCTTTTGAAGTGTCTCACGTTTTAGTCAAAGGCAAGTGGGCAAGTGGTGAGCCCAACTGCACTACGTCGGCAGTGCGACTGCATCAAGTTGGCAGCGCAAACCCATGCAGTCAGCGGTACCGGTCCCAGTAAGTCAGAATCCAGTCAAGCAAGTACCGTGTGAGACTGTGTACACCAAGGGCCTGGGAAAGAGGCAGACCAACGAGTTACAAAAGTATAAATCAAGAGGCAGCGCCCAGCCATTCATTCATTCGCCACATAAGCCATGTGGACGCGCTGCTACAGCGTCTTGTGCGAAGATGGTCTGCAGGTTGCCCGAGGACGAAGTGGGGTGAAGGGAGATCATAGCCATAGTCAGTAGTGGTTGTGTGGCCATAGCCGCTGTAGGAGGAAGTTAGACTTAGCATGCGTGTGTGGTGGTATTCAGGGTGATCCAGAGTGAGCGTGTGTGAAGAGTGGAGTTGGACACAGTGACGAAGGTTGGGATGTTTAGGTGCCGATGCGCGATAGCCTGTTGCATTGAAATTGCATCTGAACTGTGTTCTTGATTTCCATATCTCTAAGCTTTGAGTGGGCGCCCGGCGCCAGTGTGAATCTCCATCTGTTTGCATGTGTGCGAAGTGGAAGTGAAAGTGAGTTTGATTGCACTATGCAATCAGACTCGACTTATTCATACTTTACATGCACGTGAACAGCAGAATAACAAACTGGCGCCATGCGCCCACACAGAACTCAGAGATATGGCTTCCAAGTAACAGTTCGCTTCCACTGGCTATGGCGACTGTGCGCCTCACACAAACTCACTGTTCACACTCTGGATCACCCTGGATGTCCCACACGCGATACTCAGTATACACACACAGTACACACACTCTTCCMCTATACTACAGCTATGGCGGCTATGGCCGCCGCTACCCTACTGCTATGGCTASAGTGCKTCACTCTCGCCCACTTYGTCTTCGGGCCTTCTGCAGACCTCCCCGCACAAGCTGCTGAGGCAGCGCTTCGGCATGGCTTCCGCAGGAATGAATGAATGGCTGGACGCAGCCTCTTGATTTATACTTCTGTGCTGCGTTGGTCTGCCCTGTGTCCCTTGGCCCCYGGTGCACACAGTCCCARACGGTACTTGCTGGACAGGACCGGACTGCCTAACTGGGACTGTTGACTCAGCGAGGTGGCCTTCCACCACTTGACCACTTGCCTCYGTTCAACRCAGGCTCACTCYGAAAGGCCACTTCTAGAAACCTCTAACTTGGCCTTTCGGTACTGTAGCAGCTACGACTTTGCCCCTTCAGGTAAGTAGCAGCTACGACCTTGACCCTTCAGACATCCTACAACTACGACTTCGGAACTGTCTAGACTYCTACCCTACAGGTCTACAGTTCGATTCCCTTCTACCCTGTRACCTACGAAAATCTACCTACCACTRGCRGTCCTACAGGTCGCAGGTTCAAATCTACGGGTTGACACTGGTACTGTACACAGGTAAAATGGGGAACTAGGGATCGAGCCCTGGGATCTGCATTCGCTACTGCGAACTGGTGAATACCGTTTCAACTATGTATTCCGCTGAGAAACAGACTTGACCRTATTATGCCACTATTTCCATCTTAAAACCTGSCCATTTAGCCATGCGACTTTGCCACTGCTATGAACCACRCCGTTCATCACCAATGACTCRATGAGTGCGCAGATATATACCACATGCATGTATGAAATCACACGAAATTTCACACTGGAGACCAGAGAGATAAAGACCAGTCAGCGCAGCTTATGAGTTTCAACAAGTTATTACAAGACCAATAAGAGTTCAGGTCGCCAGCGCTCATCAGCGCGTACAAAAAGGTAACCAGTTACCAGCATCAGCTCAAAGGTAAGTATCTTCTCCTCCTTGCTCTTCTTTCTCTCTGGCYATAACCTCGCTGTGTCTTCTCTCCTATCTACTTCTCACTGTGTSTTCTCTCCCTKCATGCATGCACACTCACTAGCCTCTACTCAAGGATCTACTCTGGATACATCCACTGCTAGTCTACTAACTCCCTACTAACTATCACTATCACTAAGCGCTAGTGCAGCTATGGCTGCCTTCTTCCTGCCAGYGCATCCTCTTCCTCTCTCTCCCTCTCTTAGCACAGCACTCTGGCBTCAGYGCTCTGCCCTCACTTTAGCGCACAAGTGCACCAGCACTTCCACACTACTTSCAAATGAGCAATCTRCCCGAATGGGMGGCTGGCCAGTCCTTTTGTAGTCTTGGATTGCACTTCAACTCRTGCCAGCCTCTGCTTCCTGGGTCTGACTGAGTTCCAGTACCACATTCCCACGGCCTGTCTGCTTCTGAGTGTCAAGGCCTGGAACCTTCCCGAATTTCCATTGGTCTGCTGCTGC